CTGCAATCCCAATACTTTATTGTGACTTGCTTTCAAGTGAACCTTTTAAGAATTTTGATAGAGAACATTGTATTTCATTCTTCAACTTTTTTGAACATGGAAAATATTTTTTAAAACATAGGATGTGAAAAATTACTAAAATTTAATTTTAATATATTATTTACCAGGATAATAGAGCCCTGAAAAACTAGGCAGAGCAATTAGGCAAGAAAAAGAAATAAAAGATATCCAAGTTGGAAAGGAAAGAGTAAAATTATCTTTGTTTGCAGATGACATGATCTTATGGTATGTGTAGAAAAAACCTAAAGATTTCATATAAGCCAGGTGCAGTGGTACATGCCTAGAATCCCGGCAGGAGGACTGCAAATTCAAAACTAGCCTCAGCAACTTAGAGAGGCCTTAAGCAACTCAGCAATACTCTGTCTCAGAATAAAAATTTAAAAAGGCTAGGGATGTAGCTCAGTGGTTAAATGCTCCTGAGTTCAATCCCCAGTATATATATTAAAAAACCTACATAAAAATGGTTAGAATAAATGGATTCAGTAAAGTGGCAGGATACAAAAAAATCAACATACAAACCATCAGTTGTGTTTTTATAAACCAAAATTACTATCTGAAAATAAAACTGAGAAAACTATTTATATTAGCATCAAAAAGAATAAATTCCTAAAAATAAAATTAAGAGGCAAAACCTTGTACCCTGAAAACTATGAAGCATTGAGGATAAAAATTAAATATGATACAATAGCATTTTTTACAGAAATAGAGAAGGCAATTCTATAATTCATATGAAATCACAAAAAACTCCAAACAGTTGGAGCAATCTTAAAAATAAGTAAGCTAGAGGCATTACACTTTTTTTTTCTTTGTACTGGGGATTGAACCCAGGGGAACTTTACTACTAAGCCATATCCCCAGTCCATTTTATTTTGAGACAGGGTCTAACTGAGCTGTTGAGGCTATCCTCAAACTTGCAATCCTCCTGCCCCCCGAATTGCTGGGATTAGAGGCATGCACCACAGCACTCAGCAGCAATGCACTTCTGATTTCAAAATACATTTCAAAGATACAGTAATTAAAACAGCACCTTACTGACATGAAGATAGACATGAACCAATGAAACAAAATGAAGATCCTAGAAATAAATGCCTGACTATACAATTTATCCTTGACTAGGGTGCCAATAATACACAATAGGCAAAAGATGCCTCTTTGAACAAATGGAAAACTAGGTATTCACATGTAAAGGAATGAAAGTGTAATCTTATCTTATGCCATACAAATAAATCAACTTGAAATGGGTTAAGATTTAAATTTAAGGCCTGAAATTATAAAACTCCTAGAAGAAACAGAGGGGTAAAGTCTTTACAATGTTGGTCTTGGCAATGACTTCAAGGATATGATATCAAAAAGCACAGGCAACAAAGCTGGGCGAGGTGGCGCTCGCCTGTAATCCCAGCAGCTGGGGAGGCTGAGGCAGGAGGATTGTGAGTTCAAAGCCAGCCTCAGCAAAAGTGGGGCACTAAGCAACTCAATGAGACCCAGTCTCTAAAATAAAATATAAAATAGGGCTGGGGATGTGGCTCAGTGGCCAAGTGCCCCTGAGTTCAATCCCTGGTACCCCCTCACCCCCTGAAAAAAAGCACAGGCAACAAAAGCAAAAATAGAAAGTTGGACTACATTAAATAATCCGATTTTTAAAATACGCTAAAGACTTAAAAGAGATATTTCTCCCAAAGAAGACATACACATGGCCAACAATATATGAAAAGATGCTTAATGTTGCTAATCATCAGGGAAATAAATGCAATCAAAACTACAATAAAATAACACCTCACACTTGTTAGGATGGCTATTATCAAAAAGGCAAAAAGTGAAAAACCAAAATAAGACAGGGCTGAGGTAAAGCAGTGAAATACGTCAGAAAATATGCCATATATATATATAATGATACCATGTGAGAGGCCCTGAGTCCCACCCTTAGCACCCACCATCTCACACACACAAACAGTGTTGGTGAGAAGGTGGAGACCAATATCACTGGTAAGAATGTGAAATGTTACAGCCATTATAAAAATCAGTATAGGTTCCTATAAAAATTAGAAATAGAGGGCCAGGGCTATAGCTCAGTGGTAGAGCGCCTGCCTAGCAGGTGTGAGGCACTGGGTTCCATCCTTAGCACCACATAAATATAAATAAATAAAGATATTGTGTCCATCTACAACTAAAAAAATATATTTTTAAGAGAATTTTAATATTTATTTTTTAGTTTTCGGCAGACACAACATCTTTGTTTGTATGTGGTGCTGAGGATCGAACCCAGGCCACAAGCATGCCAGGCGAGTGCACTACCACTTGAGCCACATCCCCAGCCCTAAAAAAATATTTTTAAAAAATTAGAAATACAACTACCATATGATCCAGCATCCCATTTCTAATATTTACACAAAACAACTGAAATCCAGATCTTGACAAGGTATTTGCACCCCAATGTTCACTATAGCACTATTCACAACAGCCAAAATGTGGAAACAACCACAATGTCTATTTACAGATGAATAAAGAAAATATGTCATATACCTATAATGATATGTTATTTGGCCTTAAATAAGGAAATCCTACAATATAAGACATCCTTGATGAACCTTGAAGACATTATGCTAAGTGAAATAACCCAGTCACAGAAGGACAAAATGCTGCAATAGTTCATCTAAAATTGCCAGACTCAGGGTTGGGGTGTGGTTGTCAGTGGTGGAGCATGTGCTTAGCATCTGAGAGGCTCTGGTTCAACCCCCAGCGCACTCTCCCCTAAAACAAAGTCAAACTCATAGAATCAAAGACTAGAATTGTGGATACCAGGGGTTGGGGCCCGGGGAGAAATGCAAAATTGCTAATCAACAAGCACAAAGTTTCCATTATGCAAGATGAATAAGTTCTAGAGGTCTGCTAAACAACACTGAACCTACTGTTAACAATATTGTGTTGTGCACTAAAAATTTGTTAAGAGGGCAGATCTCATATTAAGTGTTTTTACCACAGTAAAATAAAGTTAAATTTAAAAAGGGAAGATGTTTCTTCTCCTCTTCTTCAATCCTGCTGTCCAGGACACGTGATGGCTCTTGCTGCTATTCTGGACCACAAAGTTAGATGGAAGGGGCTTGCATCACTGGATACCACAGAGCTGCCACACCAACTCAGGATGCCGTTTTCTAGACTTATTTTGCATGATAATTTTCAATCTTATTTAAGTAATTTTGATTTTTTTAAAATATTTATTTTTTAGTTGCAGTTGGACACAACACCTTTATTTTATTTATTTTTATGTGGTGCTGAGGATCGAACCCAGGGCCTCACATATGCTAGGTGAATGCTCTACCACTGAGCCACAACCCCAGCCCCTAATTAATTTTAATTTGAAGTTACTATTATTGGCAGCTGGGGAGAAAGAAGTTGAAATAGCTGGCCCATGATTCTGTGTGTGTGTGTGTGTGTGTGTGTGTGTGTGTGTGTGTGTGTGTGAGAGAGAGAGAGAGAGAGAGAGAGAGAAAGAGAACACACACACACACACACACACACACACACACACACACACACACACACACAGAGGAAATACACTTCCAGGGAAAACAAATGGCCCTGTCTAATCTTTTCTCACTGGACCTTCAGGTAAATAGGCCCAGATTGGCACCATAGACCACTGGCTAGTTGGTCTGTTTTTATGAGTAAAGTTTTGTTGGAACACAACTATAATTATTTAGTAATTGTCTATAGCCGCTTTTGTGCTACAATTACAGAGTTGGGTAGTTATGCCAGAGACTGTATAGCCCACAAAGCATAAAACATTTACAGAGAGTCTGCTGACCCCTGAAATAAACTAATGATATTTTCTAAAAGAAAGTGCCCCTTTTTATAGAATGCCCTTAGTAGGATATGCCTGTGAGAAGGATTTCCTAGAGAACTAAGAATTATCTATAGGAAGTAAACCATTAATCTGTGAAGCATGGCTCCCAAAAGACTGCCACGTGAGCCACACGATCCACACAGCTCTCTGGGATACATAAAAGGGAGATGTTTTGTACCCTAAATGTTTCCTGCTACGTGAGGTAATAAAACCTCACTTGAAGACCTTGTACATTGAACTCCCTGTTCAATTTAAATTCTGTTCTGCTCTATTGCCTTCTGTTTCTATGCCAATATTACTAGTTTATTTACTGTAGGGGTACATCAGCATGATGAAAGATCATGCTCAGGTTTGTTTTTCATAAATTCCAAAGTCAGGGCTGGGGATGTGGCTCAAGCGGTAGCGCGCTCGCCTGGCATGTGTGCGGCCCGGGTTCGATCCTCAGCACCACATACAAACAAAAGATGTTGTGTCCGCCGAAAACTAAAAAATAAAATATTAAAATTCTCTTTCTAAAAAATAATAAATAAATAAATACCAAAGTCATTTCCCTTTTATTTATCTGTGATATTTATGTAAAACCCCTGTTTTATTATGTAGTGGATGTTAGTGTTCCACCCAGACCCCCTTGGATTCCTTTTTTTCACTTTGCCAAAAAGTGTTTTCCCATGGGTACCACATGAGATCCTGTGTTTGGGGGAAAAAAAAGAAATTGTGTGTGTGTGTGTGTGTGTGTGTGTGTGTGTGTGTATGAATGTATATGGGGGGAGTGTGTACGCACCTGTGTACCTGCTTTCCTAGAACAGCCTTAGACCTGGGAGTTTATAGTCTCAGAGCAGTCCTCATCCTAGGACTGATGTGCCCTTGCCTGGGGGGGTCGATTCTGGGGCATCCACTTCATAGTGGAGCTCCTTTGTATGATCAGGCTGAAGCTACAGGAGCCTTGGTTGGCTCCCTTGCCTCCGTGTCCTGATTCTGCCTCTCCCTTGCTAGTTTCCTCTGGGGCACTTCCTTAACAGCCACTGGCACATGAGTCTTTGCCTCAGGATCTGCAGTGGGGGCATCTGACACCTAAGGAGAAGAATTATTATGAGTTTACCTTTTAAAATTGATGTTGAGATTGGCAGTCATGGCAATCCCCCCAGCTCGACATGCACACGTACCGGTGGTGGAGTCCATCATGGTTGCAATGGCACCTCCGTGAACAAATCTAGTTACAATGGCAGAGAGAGAAAAATGGTCTCAGAAGTTTGGGAATCAGAGAGGGAGAAATAAGAGAGGGAGAAATTATCTAAGCATCTTCACAAAATTACTTTGGAGAGGTTCACTTAGTCCATATTCAATGTTTTGAATGTCAAATAATATACCCCAAATTCAAAGCATAATACTGTAGTCTTGAGCACTTACATAAAACAGGAACTTAATAGTAACCAGATCACACCATACAAAAACTAAAATATACTTTAAAAATTTATATTATGCTTCTATTAAACAAACTATACACATTCGATGTTTAAAATTTTAGAAACTGCAGTAAGAAGAAAAAAAAATTTGCCATGTGCAGTGGTACACACCCGTAAACCCAGCAACTCAGGAGGCTGAGCCTGGAAAACGTAGTAAGACCCTATATCAAAATGAAAAGAAGAAAACAACAACAACAACAAAAAACCTGGGGACGTAGCTCAGTGGTAGAGCCCCACTGGGTTCAATTCCCATTACTGTAGAAAAGAAAAGCATAAGGCCTGCGATACTACCATCTAGTCAGTGTCAGGCTATTACTAACATGTTAATGATACTCCCCCAAATTATACTCTATAGCCCTGTGCTCTATAATAATATATTCTCTAAGTCCTTTGATATTATATTAAAATTTTAATTAATATTAACAATATAGGTAACACTTCTTTTATAATATATTATAAACATCTTTCTATGTCAATAAATCACATCTACACTGCCATCTTCTTTGTCTTCTTTGTAGTCCCTGGACACACGGGGGTGCTAGCAGATAGAAGTCTTTCAGTTTCACTTTGCTGGGCTATCCCACTTACCCAGGTGCTCCCTGCAGGTGAGGACCGACTTGAAGAAAGCAAAGTACCCTTTTCTCAGCATCATTATAGAACATCACATATTCAAAGCCCAGGCCATCCTCAAAGCTTCTTGTGAAGAGCTGGGCATGTTCTTCTCCTTTTACGAGACTTGGGTCTACAGGGAAACAGGTATAAGAGAAGGCTATGACCCAGCTAAGCACCTTTCATGGTGCTTAAAATCATATGTGATGATTGATTTAAATGTCAATTGGATTCAGAATTGAAAGGGATGGGAGGGTCCCAAGGGAAAAAAATATATAGGATCTTTGCCACTGTGGACTTATTAGTCTAAACCGGGATGCAGTAAATATTCATGAAATGAAAACTCAGCACTTAACTATAAATGCAATCAGGAAACACAGATGCTAACTACTGAATAAAATGGTAAGGTACAGACAGAAATTCTTCTTGGAGTAGACAGATTATTCATTTTAAGTCTCATTTGAAGCCTAACAGTAAGGAGAAGGTTTTCCTGGAACACATAAGTTAAACCCGTTAATTATACGGGATCAGAAACAGGGCAAGTTCAGAGCAATACACAGTGAGATTCTTATGTCAGCCCCCAAACTAGGGGTAGAACCATTGGGGTTTATGAAATCAAATCAATGGGTTATAAACATCCTTTAAAAAGAAGCACAATATGTCAGATATATTCTGGGCAAACACTGCTATGCTTGTTTAGACAGTTTTTTCCACTTACACAACTGCGTGGAAGTTAAGTGTTCTAGGTTAAGTCAAAACGTAGGTTACTAAAAATAAAGACGGAAAGCTATTGCTTTAAGAGAAGGGTGTCCTTTTATAATTATTTTAAAATTTAATCTTTTTATTCTTAGCTTTCTTTATAGGTCATCTGATTTGTCATGCATAAAACTCTCTAAGTTTCTTTCATTTCTATTGAATTCATACTTATAAACTTGGAAAAAGATATGATAAGAAAATCTGGGAGAAGCGAGGAGGACAGGGGAAGATGCCGTTTTCTTAGGCCATCTACTGGACGGTCACCTTGTCCTTTCGACTTTGTATGCCCATCAACTGGCACAGATACGTATTGGCACACACTACATGTACTCAGAGGACCAGACACAGAAACTTAAAATCAAGGATCAGTATTATGGCACAACAGAAACAATCTTGGCCTAGGAATTGAGAAAATTAACATTCTTGGGCTAGCTCTGGCCTAGAACTATCCCTTTTTCTCCGTAGTTTATGGATAAATGAGAAAAATAAGAATGGTGGAACAAGTTGTCAGAAACACAGAATCAGACTCTGACCTTCTGAAGTGGAACCTGCTTTAACAAGGTTTCCAGGGGTTTCCTATCTGTGTTGGAATCTGAGAGCTGGTAGCACTGAAGGCAGCAGAGGACTACCAGATCAGCTATGCACAGGGGGCCGGAGGGGCTCTGAGCAGGCAGGAGTCTGGGCAGCAGAGCTTAGAAGACACCATGAAACCAACAATCCTACTGAATTTTTTTTTTTTTTAAAGAGAGAGTGAGAGAGAATTTTTAAAAATATTTATTTATTTATTTATTTTAGTTTTCGGCGGGCACAACATCTTTGTATGTGGTGCTGAGGATCGAACTCGGGCCGCACGCATGCCAGGCCAGCGCGCTACCGCTTGAGCCACATCCCCAGCCCAATCCTACTGAATTTGGGACTCAGTCAGCAGGGGTTTTTGTGAAGGCATTTTGGTGGAGTTCATCAGGTAGGAGCCAGAAGGCACTAGGACAGTCAACTAATTGTGTGATGTAATGATACCCAGAATGGAATCAGTAATACAAATCAACTACATTTTAACTTATTTGAAAAATTTTTAATTTTAATTAAGAAAAACTTTTTGGTGCTAGAGTGAACCAAATACCTTCAGCATGCTAGGCCAGCATACTACCACTGCACAGCCCTAAAAATTAATAGCTAAAATTTACCTTCATTCATAAAAAAGAATGATTCTTATCTCTGTATTGCAGAATCTAAAAAGAAGTTTAAGTTTCTTTCTTGGTGGAAGTAGTTTTACTTTTGTTTCATTTATTCTTTTGGCAAACACTGAAATATCTATGCAAGCACCAAAAGGTAAAGTACCTTGCCCAAGATCACATAGCTTTAAATTGTGGAACCAGAATTTCAACCCAGAAATTTGTGGGACTAAATTTCAATCACTGAATTAGGAAGCTGTCAGATTTTGGGTGGCTTGTAAAGCCACGAGACAATGAGATTATGAGAGAGCAGAGAAGGGGGTACTAAGCACTGAGACATGGGGGCAACCAAACATTCAGTTTGAGGATGGGGAAGGGGGGAGAAACTAACACAAAAACCTAAAAAAGAGGGTGAGTGCAGTGGGAGAATGAGGTGACCTGGAAGCCGAGTTCAAGGAGGAAGGAGACACAAGGAGTGCTGAAAGCAGAGAGAGGTCACTGGATTTAGCAGCAGGAATATCACTCGTGTCCTTGACAGAGCAGTTTGATAGAGTGATGGGGGTGAGGGTCTAATGGAGTGGGTTCCAGAGATACCAGGAAGAGAAATGCAATTGTGGTGTGTCTCATGCTGAGAAAGATCTAGCAGAGAGATATATCCTCCACAGGCCAAAGGGGAGGTGATGCAGTGCAGAAATGGCCCCGTGGAGCACAGACAGTTCATGCAGAGAGAAGCAGAGGACTGGGACCAGGGCAGGGGGGAGGAGGAAGGAGGCAGTGAGAGCTTGGAGATTCTCTTCTGATGGCTTTTATTTTCTCTTAGTGAAACAGGAAGTAAGATCAGCTGACAGTGAGAATGGGAAAGAAAAAATCAGAGGCAGGAGAAGAAAGAAAATGGTAGGAAATAGTAAGGTAGGAGAGCCAGGAGAGTGAACAGACTAGATTTGCACATATGGTCATTAGGCAACATTAAGCTCATTAAAAAACATAAGTCATTAAAAAAAAAAAATCACAATCCCCAAACTATTACCAAAAGATTTGTTTAGATGATCAATGATATAAGGTCATTCAGAAATATCTGTTAAAGCTCCAAGAGAGCAGGGACCCTCGTGCCTCAGTCTCCTGAGTTGCTCAACAATTATTTGGTGAGTGAACAAATGCTGTGTATTGCAAATAAGAAACCAAAAACGTCTTCACAATGGTTTTAAAATGAAGAATGTAGCTGGGTACAGTGGCACATGCCTGTAATCCCAACCGAGGAAGGTGGATAAAAAGTGTGAGGCCAGCCTCAGCAACTTAGTTGGACCCTGCCTCAAAATAAAATATAGGAAGGGATGTAGCTCAAAGGTAAAGTACCCCTGGGTTCAATCCCCAAAGGAGGAGGAGGAAAAGGAGTGAGAGGCAGAAGGGGAGGAAGAATAAGAGGAGGATGAGGAGGATGAAGAGGAGGAAGAGGAATAATAATAATAATAATGTATTAGGTATATATTTATATATAACGTTCTTCAATTGGATTCAGTAAGGCAGAAGGGAATAAACAGCTCACATGAAAGACATGGGGTGCTGTCTGATGGTAAATGAACTGTGCGACATGGCTCTTATTCTAAGCAAACACTAAGGATTCTGATAGACTGCAATATGTCCTAGGAAAAGCATCCAGGAATTTGAGCAGAGAGAAATACCTTCTGGGAGAAATGCCTGAAAACAACAAAGACTGGACTGGCAGGTGAACTGGAGAAGGATGAAGTATCTAAGTCCTACACACCAAAGGATGTAAGTGAAGGAATTCTCATATTGTGTCCTCGTAGATGGCAGAACTCAATGGAGGAATCAAAGTTACAGGAGAGACTAGAACTCACTGATTCATACCGTTGTCCAAAATGGAAGAAGCCCTTTGTTCCAAGTACCCCATGACTGCAGGGATTCAAGTTAAATCCAGATGACTGGCTGTGAGGGTGCAGAAAGCAAGAAAAGACAGGAAAAAAAAAGTAGTTTCCAACTTTTCTTTCAACTGAGGGAGTCTACTGTCTTTCTTCCCTTCGGTAGCAGTGGCTTGATAAGGAGAGGGCCAGACACTGAGCTCCATGAGGGTGGACACCTCCTGTTTTCTTCATTGCCAAATTCCTGTGCCCAGCACAGTACATGCCACAGTCAATATTCAATTGATAATTGTAAAATAAGAAGGCTAGTGACTCTCAAGAGGGAAGAGGAAGAAGTATCCTAACAGCCCCTGTTAAGTTGGTGCCCCACACTAAGTGGATGATTTTCAAGGTTCCAACTCTCAGATGCTGTTTATTTATCCTGATTTATCTAATCAGTCTGTTTCAATAACTACTCACACTTATAAAACTCTTGAAACCAGTGTTTTTGGGTAATGAATTCCCTTGAGAATTTTATGAAAATCACTAACCATTTAAAAATGAATATCCCTTGTGGGAGGGCAAATTACTAATTTTTTAATATTTGTCTGAAAGGTAAACAATTTCCTTTCTCATAAGGGGAGGTGCTGCAAGGTTTTGTTTTTAAGTGCAAAAGCCTAATTTAAGATTCTAATTAGGCACTATAGCATCTTCTAAAATGGTAAAGGTTAGATTATGTCCATTTAAACAGAGATAAAAATCAAAGATGAGTTCAACAAGACTAGCTTCTCAGGTGTGAAGATAAAACCAGTTTAAAAAACTTCCTGTTTCTAGTCAGTTGTTAACATCATCATGAGGCAGGAGAAGGGGTTAAATGAACAAGCAGGGAACCTGGGATCCTCTGAGGTCAGGTCTCTGTGTAGCAGGGCAGAGGAAATACAGACACAGGCGAGGCCTCATCAAGGTCAGGCCAGCTCCAGTGTAAGTTGCGGTGGGGACGAATGATAGTGAGACATCTACAAAAAAGGCATGGTAACCTGTTTGGATCACAGGGCACAAGAAGAGCTCAATGAATGCCTTTCCCAGGATTGGGTAAGGGGCTAGCTCCCTTCACCCTGTACATCTATATAAACCCTAGACAGTAGCCACTTTCTAGTATCCCTCTCTATGGATCCCTCCTCTGCTTTCTTACTCTAAGAACTTCAGTTACTTTGCTCTTACCCTTGTGTCTATGGATTTCATTATTTGAATTTGTGAGACAATGAATCCACATTCTGTGCTATAATCAGTAATCAGCTGGTTCTCAAGTTCTGAGTCAAATGAATCAACATCATCTGCAAGTTTGTTAAACATAGATTCTTAGGCTCTGCATCAACCAAAGGTCCAGGGGATTCAGATCAAGTCAGGTATCAGAAAAACAACAGCAGTTTAAATCTTCGGTGATTGTAAAACCTATATGCCAAGCAGACTCATGAAGAGAAGTTTTCATATGTCCCTTTCAAATCACAATAGCTGTCCTGACTGTGATTTTACTCCTACCAGACCCAAGAAAGGAGGTATGAAGCAAAGAGGTTCAGTATTCTAATTCCTAAACAAGGGATCTGGCACCACATTTCAGAGCCTAAAAAGGGAAGGGAGAGATAAAAATCAAGTAGAATACTTGAATACATTCCCTGGAATAATTCCTTCTTTTTAAAAAAATATATATATATATATATTTAGTTGTAGATGGACACAGTACCCTTTGTTCTTTCTTCATTTTTATGTGGTGTTGAGAATTGAACCCAGTGCCTTACACATGCAAGGCAAGAGCTCTACCACTGAGCCACAACCCCTCCTTCCTTCTTCCTACAAATATTTATGAACACTTACTATGTACCAGGTATTCTTCTCACTGGAGATACAGTAGGGAATAAAACATACAAAAATCTCTGCTCCTGTGAAACTTATGCTCTCATGTTGCAATACAAACCATTACATTAATAAAACACTAAGCATGTCAGATGGTGTGCAATGGGAAGAATAAATATACCCTATACACATATAACTAAGTGAAAGAAGACAATCTGAAAAGGCTCTGAATGATTCCAACTATATGACATGCTGGAAAAGACAAAATTCAGTGATCTGTGGTTGCCAGTTTAGAAGGGAGACATGAACAGGTAGAGAATGGGATTTTTAGGGCAGAGAAGCAATTCAGTATGACTTTATAATGACACATATATGTCATTATGTTTTTTTTTTTTTTTTTTGGTGGTGCTGGGGATTGAACCCAGGGCCTTATGCATGCACTGCAAGCACTGTACCCACTGAGCTACATCCCCAGCCCATATATGTCATTATGTATTTGCCAAAACTTATAGCAAATGCCACACAAAGAGTGAACCCTAATATAAACTACAGACTTTGGTTAATAGTAATGTATTAACATTAGTTCATGAATTATAATAAGTTTACCACAGTAATGTAAGATGTTAGTAATAGGGGAAATTGGGTGAGAAGCAGGTAAGGGATATATGGGAACACTATACTTTTTGCTCATTTTTTAAAATAAACCTAAAATTGCTTAAAATGTATATTAAAAAATCAAACAGAATGATAGGAAGTACAGTGTGTGTGTGTGTGTGTGTTGGTATAGGGTGGGTAGCTTTTGGGGTTTAGAATCTGGGAGATAAAGGGGTTACCCAAGTATTCTGAACTCCTGAGGGTGATGAAGCCAGATACCAGGGTAAAGGGCAAACTGAGACCAGTAATGACAGCCTCAAGACAGAGGGCTGATGAGCGTGTGGGTAGCCTTTCACTTCTGCTGCTGAGGATGCCAGGATTGAGATAATCTTATTCTTAACAATCGGCTTTAGATTCTCCTATAGTCTGCAAAATAACTATTGGGATTTCTAGCCTATAAAACAGGTGTACAGAAACCCCTAGACTATACTTCTCTTTTCAAGTAATAACTGTTCTTAGTTTTATACTTGATATTCCAATATTATTGATAGAAAAGTGGTTTCTCCTACCGAGATAAAGGGTTTGGAATCCTTGAAAAGTTTTAGAAAAAAATTGTTTGTATGAAGGCAAACGTTTCCAGGAGCCATCTTCACATTTCTTCATGAACTGGTCAAAGAGGAGTCTTAGGTCCTTGCTCCAGCTGGGGTTAGGGAGAGCACAGTCCTTCTGAACGACTTTCTCAGAAGAAAATGACCTCTAAAACACAGAAGAAAAAGAAGATTAATGGAAGGTGCATCCTATTTCATAACCCATTCTTTCACTTTTTTGTTTTTTGTTTTTGGTACTTGGGATTGAACCCAAGGGTGTTTTATTTATTTTTTATTTTTTTTTTATTTTGAGACAGGGTCTCACAAAGTTGCCCAGCTTAGCCTTGAATTTGTGAATTTCCTGCTTCAGCCTCCTGAATTGCTGGGATTATAGGTGTGTGACACTGAATTGGGCCTATTCTCAAGCTTTCTTTTTTTGTACAAGGGACTGAACCCAGGAGCACTTGACCACTGAGCCATATCCCCAGGCCTTTTTTATTTAGAAACAGGGCCTTGCTAAGTGCTGAGGCTGTCTTTGAACTCACAATCCTCCTGCCTCAGTCTCCTGAGTCACTGGGATTACAGGTGTGCGCCACTGTGCCCGGCTATGCTCCAACTTTCTAAGACCATCTTAGTGTTTTTCTTCCTCCAGAGGATTGTCATTTCAAAATGGAAGGGATGTTCCAGATATCACTTGGTCTAACCTCCTTGAGAGAAAACAGGAGATTGAGAAGATAAATAATTTCCCTAACATCACCCAGCTAGCTACTGGCAAAGCCAGCATTAAGCCCAGATGAGCCAGGCACTGGTGACAGAAATGAAGGACAGACATTGTCTTCCACATAAAAAGTACATCAGTATGTGGGTGGAGATGGGGGGAGTATACCAGTGTGGTATGCACAGGAAACTAAAGCACAAGGAAATGGTCTTTGTCTCAGGTTGGGTCTCTAACTTGAATACTGATTAGTCCAACAGAAATGAGTCAGCTGGAAAGAGTACTGAAGGCAAAGGAACACTGTGTGAAAAAGCCAGGAGGCATGAAAGCTTTGAAGAGACTTATCACAACTGTATGAAGTAGGCACTAATTACCACTCCACTTTAAAGCCTAAAGTAGGCTTCCAACTGTGCTGTAAAGCAGTAGTACTTATTCCTCCTACCTAATTGTACTGGTTATCCAGCTTGTATTTCTCCTCCTCATTCTAGTCTTTAGCGACCCTCTATTCTACCTTCTACTTCTATAAAATTGACTTCCACATACCAGTGAGGTATTTGTCTTTTTGGGCGTCCTCCAAGTTTTTAAATGTATTTTTTCTTAATATGCTTTAATCTCAGTAAGAAATATGATTTTGTTGTTTTTATTGCTTTAAATTATTTACTATTCACTTTCTCATATTCTTAATCTTAGAAAAACATTTTTTTGGGGTGGTATAGGGGATTGAACTCAGGGGCACTTGACCACTAAGCCACATCCCCAACCCTATTTTATATTTTATTTAGAGACAGGGTCTCACTGAGTTGCTAAGCACCTTGCTATTGCTGAGGCTGGCTTTGAACTAGCAATCCTCCTGCCTCAGCCTCCTGAGCCACTGGGATTACAGGTGTATGCCATTGTGTCCAGCTACATATCAACATTTTTAACAGTAGAGAAATAGTCCTTTAAACTGATGTACTATAATTGATTTTAGTACTTTAAATTGATGTACTACCATAAATTCAACGATTTAAGTTGAACATTTAAATTGTTTCCAATCTTTTACTGTTCTAAATGAAAATGTTCAAGAGAACATTATGAATATAGTCTTTTCTCTTTTGGATTATTTCCAATCCAAATCCAGTTGAGTTTGTTACCCTTGATGGACACTATAATGTTGTGGGAAATAAAAATGTTAAGTGTCAGTTTAAGAAATGTATGTAAATGCACTTGTAAATTTCATAGCATAGACTTGGAGGGATACATGCCAGGGATAATCATTATCTTCTGTTGTACTAAGTAGAGGAAAGACTACTTGATCTTTGGTTCCACATTTATAAAGGTGGTACTCAGAAGAAGGTTTAACTTTTTTTTAAACGACCTTTTAAGTTACTGAGTAGGAAGAATCACGACTTATAAAGCCTGTAAATACTAATACTTAAATATTCACAACACAGATTATAAAGCACCCACATAATTAAGGGAATTAATTCATCTTTGTTGTAAGATGAGCACATTTTCTTTTCCAATGGGCAAGATAGTTCACGACTAACGACCAATGTGCATGCATTATTCTTTAGCAGAAAGCTCAACAACTTAATGAAGATGCCATACGCAGATATTTTAACTTTGCAATCTGACCCCATTCTCCCAAACTAGGCTGCAAGCTCCTTAAGAGAAAGGACCTTTTCTTGGTTATCAGACGATACCGTCAAGGGCCCACAGCGCCTGGAGCGTCGTCGGAGCCGGACAGACAGCAACTGGGCGCACCCGCCAGGCCAGACCAACGTGACCACAGGTCGGACACCAGGTTCGGGCACCGAGTCCCGGCAGAACCTCACGTAGTCACCCAACGGTCTTCCAGGGCGCGGAGACCATTCGGAGGCTCCGACCGCGAGGGTGACCTCGGCCCGACCGCCGCTCTCCGAGGCCAGCTCTCCCGCGTGCCCCTGTCCCCTCGCGCCACCTTCCTAGGTCGGTACCAGAGCCGAGCCCACCGCGCGCCGCGTCAAGAGCGAGTCACCCTCCCTCCGCTTTCTTAATGGTGGGAACCTCAGGCCGCGAGTATCCATAGGCCGCGTCCCTGCTGCTGCCGCCTCGGCGCCGGCGCGGAGTGGGCTGGCAGCGCTACCCTGCCCGGCCCGGCCAGGCCGACTCACCCGCGGGGCTCCCGGCCGGCCGCGCGGGGCCCCAGGCGTGCGCAGGAGCGCGGCGCAGCTCCTCAGCATGGCTCCGAGCTGCCGCGGGCCGCGGACGAGGACTGCGCGCTCCCCCGCCGGATGCCGGGTCTCCCCGGCGGGGGCGGAAAGGCGGGGCCTCTACGGGGACGCCCCGCCCCCCGAGGCCCTCGCCCCGCCCCCCGACCCGACCCTCCCCGCTCCGCCCCCCCGAGACCTGGCGCCTAGCAGGGACCCGGCCGCCCTCAGCTCCGCCCCCCGAGACCCACCTCCCTCAGCTCCGCCCCCCGCCCGGCCCCCGAGGCCCACCGTCCTCGGCCCCGCCCCCAGCCCCGCCCCCCGAGACGCGGCGCTTAGCCGGGACCCGGCAGCCATCAGCGCCGCTCTCCGAGCCCTCCCCCGCGCCATTCCCCGCTGCCCTCAGCGCCGCCCCCCGCGCCAACCCCCACCCGGCTCCCCAAGACCCGCCGCCTAGCGGGGCCCGAGCGGCCCTCAGCGCCGCCCCGAGACCCGCTCCCTGAGACCCGCCGCCTGGCGGGGGCCGGGGCCACCCCTCGAGACCCGCCCCCTGAGACCCGCCGCCTGGCGGGGGCCGGGGCCACCCCTCGAGACCCGCCCCCTGAGACCCGCCGTCTAGCGGGGCCGGGGCCGTCCCCCGCGCTGGCAGCTTACTGCCGACCTCCCGGCCGTCGGATTACAGCGGTCCCGGTAATCCCAGCAGTCAGTCCTCCACCCTGCGACAGACGGTCCCTCCGAAGGTCGGGCGCGGACGAGGGTGGCACGGAGGACGCTGGCCAGTGGGTTCACAGGGAGCCTGCTGGGTGCGAAGCACTGATGGGACTGGAGAGCGGCTTCCCGCCGTGGCCGGTGACGCGGGCCCGGGACCCCAGCGGCTCGGGCGGGAGTCCAGAGGCCCTGGCGACTCAGGGAGACCCTTCCCATAAATGAAATACGCACGAAGCCTGGGGAGGGGCTCAGCGATGGAGCGCCCCTGGGGTCGAAGGTAGATCGGAACCGAATGGAATTCCAGGTTGAGGCCCGACACGGGCCCGGTGGAGGGCTGTGGCCTTCCCTGCCCGCGCCCTGTCACTTGCTCACCCTATTAAGCAACCGATGGAGACACCAGTCCCCAACTCGGACTTTTTCAAGTAGAAATCGCAGGGAGATTTGCAGGATGCGTGGGTTGACTGACTTCCAAAGACTCACTGGCTTTTCGGTCTTCTCTGATTTTGAACAACCCCTGCTACCACTAATAACAGCTCCTACAAACTCTTCCATGCTCCTGGCCTCTATTAACTCTTGTTTGTTCTGACTATAAAAAGGATGAGTACTGGGGCTGGGGACGTGGCTCAAGCGGTAATGCGCTCGCCTGGCATGCGCGGGGCGCTGGGTTTGATCCTCAGCACCACATAAAATAAAGAAGTTGTGTCCACAGAAAACCGAAAAATAAATATTAAAAAAATTCTCTCCTCTTCTCTCCCCTCCCCTCCCCTCCTCCTCTTCTTCTTCTTCTTCTTCTTCTTCTCTCTCTCTCTCTCTCTCAAAGGATGAATACTATTATCTCAGCCAGCCAAACTCAGAATAAAAGCTGGCACCAGCCCCCAACTGCAGAGTAGTAACCGGGGCTCCAGAACACTTCTGTCCTTCCATCAAACCATGAAGAAATGGGGTGGGGCGGGCGGTGGCTCAGTGGCAGAGCCCTTGCCTAGCGTGTGTGTGGCACTGGTTTGATTCTCAGCGTCATAAATAAAATGAAGGTTCATTGACAACTAAAAAAATTTTTAAAAAGAAACGAAATTTTTAAAAAAACTCAGTTTTGAAAGAGTACAGTATTCTTGACTGTCAGCAAAGAAAGGGTACCACTACTACTATTAATGAAGAAATGGAAAGTGAAATTGCACAGAGAACACATCACAGAGCTGGCACCGGGTTGTGTTTGTGCAAGATAATTCTCTTTCAATGAAACTGTTCCCAGGCCAGTAGTGCGATAGAATGAGCTCCTACACCCTCATGGAATCTTATCCGATTAGTAAGATTACAAGATTTTGGTTAGCCACACTGCCGTTGGTAACATTTCAGTTATGTAGCCGGGTGCAGTACACAAGTAGCCAGGTACACATGTAGTCCTGTAGCCGTGGTCCACTTCACTTTTTGAATACAGCCCTTGTTTCTCGAGGCTTAGTTTTAAAAGGCTGAAGGAGCCTTTTTTGACTGAATGGGCCACCTATAGATAGTAAAAGGACAAGTGTTTTTTTCTGTCTCTGTCTTTACCCCTCTCCCCCTCCCTGACAAGATTAGGGAGACAGGTTCTCTTTTCTTCCCCTTGAACAAACCCACCACAGGACGCAGCTATCTGCCTGAGGATCCAAGATCCCCTACCAGAGTGCACCTGGAAAGCAACCCTTGAAGTTTCTTTAAAATCCCTCTGTTCCTCCTGATGGGCGGAATCACAGCCTCTGGGACAGAAGTCCCCTGTGTTTCTCTTTTGTCATCAAAGCAATAAACCTTTTTTTTTTTTTCCTTTTTCTCAAAACCATGTCCTCAGTATTAAATTGGCATGAATTGGCATCAAAGACAAGGACCAAAGTTTCGGTAACAAAATTTGTACCCCAGGCGGGACTCTAGAACAGCCCTCACTCTGGCTTTCTTGGGCAGGCCTGGCACTCCAAGCAACCACACTTCCATGCTGAGGACGGAAGGCGAACTTTTTGAGAGCTGACGACAAGTCAGGACACTGGCCAGTGTGCCTGGGATTGAACCAGAGGAGCTATTCCTGTGAGTCAAGGGAGGAACTGAGGGGTTGTCCCAGCAGCTGCTCCTTTTGCTTCGTGAATTCCCACCTTCCTTCCCTGAACTGCATGGATTGCTCCATCTTGCTCTGCTTTAAGAAAAAAGGAAACTGTGCAGGAAAAGCACTGGGATTGGGGCTGCGGCTGGGGCTCAGTGGTAGAGCACTGGGTTCGATCCTCAGCACCAATTGTAAGGGACCAGCGAAACATCGGAGGAAGAGACCACAAGAGACTGGCTTCATGCAATTTGCAGAAGGGGATTTATTGATTCAGCATGCTGAGGCTCCAGGCTCACTCAGGAAGATAGAGCAGCCCAGAGCCCAGAGCAGAGGTCAAGAAGAGGTTAAGTACACTTTTTGGGGAGGGCGGAGGGCTTTGCATACATCAGAACAAATCATCATGAGGCGCGGGAAAATTGAACAACAACTCTGAGACATGATTAGTACGTTCATTGGCGGGAACAGATTGGACGGGGGTGATTGGTCACTCCTAAGCGGGGTACACATTTAAACTGATTGGTTTTAGGGCCTAAATAACTACGTGACAAACTACACAGAGTCCCAGGTTATTAGACAACCAGGGAGTCAGTGGGAATATTTACTGGGCAGTTCCAGTATTGTTCTAACAGCTACAGGGATTACAGGTTTTGGGGGTAGCAGAGGAATTTTAACAATACCTGGTCTTTTACTTTTTAACCCAGGCCTTATAGCTTACAAAACTTTACAATGCCCGGTCTTTTACACTTTAACTCAGGCTTTGCAGTTTAGAAACAGCTTAGAAATTTTACCCTTACACAATAAAAAATAAATTTATAAAACAGAGATATTGTGTCCATCAAAAAAAAAAAGTTGGGACATTTTGGCCATTTGGTGAGATCCTATGGTGTACACACCAAGACCCTGATTCTACACATCTGGTTCCCCCTTGTGGGAACATCTGGTCTCTCTTGGTGGGGACATCTGTGGTGCTGCTGGTGTAGAACTCAGGGTTGAGTGGGAGTTGGGAACTTGTTGGATTTTCCCCTATCTATTCTATTTTAAACGTTCCCATCTGTTAGCCATGGGTTGGGGATCCTCTCTGTTTGTCTGTCTCTGTGTTTTTGTTTGTTTCTAGCCCTTTAGACATGGGCAATACTGTGTTGAAGTTAAAGTGTAAAGGACCAGGCATTGTAAAGCTGCTTCTAAGCTGCAAAGCCTGAGTTAAAATGTAAAGGACTAGGTATTATAAAGTTTCTAAACTGCACTCAAAGCCTGAAATTCCTGTGGCAGTTAAGACAATTCCCGGAACTGTCCATTAGATGTGTGTCTGATTCATCCCTTGACTACCTAGTTGTTTAATAACCCAGACCCCGAGCAGCTCCGGGGCCTAAACCAATCAGTTTGAATGTATCCCCCTCCTTAGGACTGACCTATCACTCCCGCCCGACCTGTTCTCGTCAATGAATGTACTAATCATGTTTGAGAATTGTTGTTTGATTTTCCCTCGGTGTATGGTGATTTGTTAAAGGAGACTGTGATGTATGTAAAGTCCCTGCCCTCCCTAAAAAAGTGTACTTAGGCACTGCTCAACCCTTGCTCGGGGCTCTGGGCCACTCTCCCTTGTTGAGTGAGCATGGAGCCCCAGCGCGCTGGATCCTCAATAAACCCCCTTCTGCTGTTGCATGAGTCCGTCTCTTGGTGGTCTCTTCCTCCGTCGTTTGCCGGACCCTTACACCTTCACCTCGGGATACCAGGATACCAGCCATGGCCCCCTTCTCCCTCCCAGGAGAAGTCTGTGTTTCCCCTTTTAAAATAAACCCTGCTTTATATGCTTGCCTCCGTCTGCTACCCTAATGGCCTACTGGCATTATCAGTGTTTTCCCCTGAGCATACTAGTCTGGGGACTTAAGGCTTCTGGATAAAGACATTGATCAGAGGCCATGCTGAATAGACATTAAAAAAGGATTAGGGCTGGAGCTGTAGCTCAGAGGTAGAGCACTTGCCTCGTATGTGTGAGGCACTGGGTTGGATTCTCAGCACCACATATGAATAAATAAAATAAAGGTCCATCAACAACTAAAAAAAATGTAAAAAAAAATAAATTCTTGGGGCTAATTGTTGGAATCTACAGAAAGTACAGATGTTGGGAAGGTACTAAGGTTGTTGGCTTGGCCTGGAACTTTCTATTTGGCTGTGTGCGTTTTGTCCTTAAGTCTGAGTTTTTCTGGAACCCCCATTTGGGTCCACCCCAGTTTCCATTTTCCTGCTACTTTGGGACAAAGGAGTGGACTGGGATGCTTTTGCTCACAGGGTTGACTGTACTTTTGAAAAAACCTTATTTGGAACCCATTGGATTCAT